CTGTACTGAAAAGAACGTCACTGCACCAATTTTATTGTTGTGACATTTACGACAATTTTTAACGTTAATGAATTCCATTTGGATATTTTTACAGCTTTTAATGTCTCCTCGTATCTCATTTGGAAGAGGAAAAATGTTACGTTTTGTACATGTTTTATTTATTTCCTTAAAGACATTTTTTTTAAAGAAGGACAATACAGTTACTACAAGCAAAATATTTAATTCATTAATATTGTTATTGTATGCTCAAACTAACAGAAGTATTCAAAATTATTTATATGGTCTTATAACGAGAAGAAAAAAATATTTTATGTAACAATAAAAACTCAAAGTCATAAGTAAAGTTGTATGTTTTTTACAATTAAAAGTGAAATTTCGATAGAGTACATCGCTTGGCCAATTCAAAATAAAATATTCATTAGTAAAGTAGTAAAAAATTGTTAGGCACCGACCGATATGAGTGAATGTATGCAATCAGGATGTACCCTAATGGGATCCTGTCAAAATAAAATAATTAATAAAAAATTTCGAAAGAAGGGGAGATCTGAACCAACCCAAACCCCTCCCTCTTGAATACGCCCACATTCATTTATTATTTACTGCACCGCACTGGCTAGAATTATTGACTTTTATATGTCGTCATGTAAATCTTTTTCGCAAGGAAACTTATTTCGGGAGAAAAATAATTAAAAATATGAATTTACAATTAACAATTCAAGAATTTTTACTCGCAAAACCATCGCAGGTTGAAAAATTGCAGCAACATTTCTAATTATTTATACCGATAACAACATTATCACTCTAATATGATTTGTGTGCTATTTTCATAACAAGTTATATTCAGAACCAAAGATATAATTCACAGTGTATTACAGTGTACCAATAAACCAAACAGAATTCCCATACGTTTTCATATAAAATTTTTGGACAACGTAGAGTCAATCTTCTTCGAATGAAATTCGAACTACTTTCTTATTATAATTTTCTCTAAATACGCATTGAATTGCAATAGCACTTTAGATTTATTTAGTTTTTCTCGTTTCTTCAAACGTAAGTTTACTATTACCGTTTTTTTATTAAAAATTTTGCTGAAGAAAAATTTACATGATTGTCTATATAAATTCAGAATAAAGTATTATTTTTACATTTATGAAAAAATGTACTCCAAATGGTTTTAAAATATGAAGGAAAAGTATAGGAAACCTTTGAAAACGCCCGGTATAGTCGCATACAATCTACTGGAAATTTTATTCGTGAATTTCCTGGAACATGCGGATGATTTTCTCGAGCGTCCGCGCTCTCTGCTCCGCGAGATGGTCCCGGGAAGCTGCTCATTCGTCACGTCGAGATAGCGTCGTTCTCGGACGGATCCGCGGAAGGCGCGACGTCCTCCTATCCTTATAACTGGTATAACCGTTAGCGAAATAGCTCGTCGTGCCTCCCTCGAGTCGCTTTCAACCATGACATACTCCATTTATACAAATCACGCGCTGTATCTTCATGTCAAAACGTAATCGCCCCGCTTTCTTCCTCCTGTTTATTTTCGTAAATATTTCATGTAATCTACTGAAAATGCTGCAAGTGAAACTCGAGCTAGCTTCATCAGGAGAGCTTGTTATTTACAGTACAACTAAATTAAAGTATCAAAAAATTTACAAATGTATCATTCAATTAATTCGGAGTAAATTGATCTTCAACAGAAACTAAATTTTCGATATTTTATTTTATAAAAAAAACAATACTTATGATTATAAAGAGCATTCTAATTAAGATTTTTTATTTTACGAAACAATAACTATGACCACATTAAATATCAAGAAATTCCCAGCATTTGATCGTCAAACTGTTTGCGAGTAATTTCCGTTCTCTGTGAAGCATTCATGATCGCTACATTCCATGTAACTTTCTATCATGAGTACTATTTTTGTCTTCGGTAACTAATTTACTGCGTATTATTATATTATCTGAAGATGATCTAATCCAAGATCAAAACATGTAATAATTTATGTATTTATTCGAATTTTAGTAATGTAATATATTTCATGTCTTAAAATAATTTTTTTTACACTCAAAATTGTTTAATGGACTCTCATATCTTTATGCTCTTTATAATCATTGTATTGTTTTTAAAATTAAGAGTTCTATAATTTTATATAACTCTTATTTTGTCTTCATTTTTAATTCATATAATTAAACATTTTAGATGTTCATAGATTGTAAAGATTAAATTAAATGTTTTAAACTTTAAATTATACCACTTGTAATTTTTAGAAGAAGCAAAATAACGAAAACAATGTGACGAAATTTTGTTGTTAAAAAAGGCTATCTGTATCTTTTATCTACCGCTTGAACGAATACAATCCTGAGCGCCAAATAAATGATTCTCCTTTCTTTTTCTTTTTTTTCTTTTTATGCTCAAGGAGAAAGCGAAATAGGTAACTCTTGCTCTATCCGTACCGACCGCCCACTGCTCTCGCAGCATCCACATGGACTAGGCAACCCTTCAGACGCACGTTTCCCACTGGTTCTCGGTTCCTTTCATCCCAGTCCGCTTTTACTTTATGCACTGGTTGTGCGCACACGGACTTTATATCGTCATACACTGTGTGCTTCGAAAACCTGAAATTCCGCTTTGCTACGGTTTCGTAAGACGCCACAAGCCATACGTTTCGCGTAGAATTTCGACGTACCTCCGTGCTGCGTGCATAACTAATATATGAATAATACAAAATGAATTTTTCGCGGCAGCTCCAGTTCGTAATAAAGTTACAATACCACATCACACGTTTCACATATTTTATTTTCACAATGCTACGATATGAGGTGGTGTACTATATTCTTTATGCAATGGGAACATAAAAACATATACGCATATGGGTAATATATAGATATATTAATATCGGAAAATGTTACCAAGAAGGGTTGTCATAAAATGCATTAATCAATATATGTAATTTAAAAAGTTATTATCGAACACTTTGCTGTTTTTCTTCTCTCATAATGTATTCATGTACTATAAAATATTCTCTTTATTCATGATAATATAGAAACAGAATAGACGATATTGAAAAGCATAATATGCCGTATATTTCAACAAATTTCAGTAAAGAAACATAGAATTATCAACATTCTTGATTAAACTGCGATCAGACACAACAACGAACAGAGGCAACTGTTGCTTCATTTGAGCACGGACAAAACGCCCGCGCAACGCTCATAAAATATGAAATTGCATCCGGTGCATTTTTCAAGATAAAAGACTGAACGCACTTTCGCGAATGTATAGCGATGCACCTGTACGACCAAAGTAGCAAACCGGAACACCGTGGAGCTTTCGTTTATGCACAGTCATACGATAAGATCTTTTTATTTATATCATCTGCAATGTCCGCACTACAGAAACGAAACGAAAGCGTATTCGCTGAGCTCGAGATAAAGATAATAGCATTTTAAAGAAAATTTCCAACGTATAAGAAAATTCACAAGAAAGAAGAGGTAGAGAACATTAATTACAACGTGAGAAACTAAATATTTTCAGAATAAAGTAAAATTTTAGAAAGCAATTAAAAATCATTAACATATTCAAAGAAACAAAAAACAGGTAAAAGCATCATCCTTCTGTAAAACGCAATTTTTCGCATCAGTAATAAATGATATCTCAGCATTCTCTTTAATGAACAATTAATTGTAAAGTATATAAATATATTATTTGAATCACTGAGTGGAATAGCGATATAGGTTATTGAAGATAAATATTCTTTTGATGTATATTATCTTTCGTGCGAAAGATAATTAATTTTAAATTCCAGCCAACTGATCATTTCCAACGAGGTAATCTCTCGAAAACGTAAGCCAGCCGCGATCGTTGCCATAGCGCCGTATGATACAACGATAGCATCGAACGACAAGATTATTATGTATTAGGTGCATGTAACTTTGCGAATTTCATCGCGATAAAAATTTCATCTTCATAATTTAAAACAAAAAATTAAATTAGCCCCCATCTTCCGTATTCTCTTTTTCCAAATCAACCCTACGTTCGATGTAATCTACCAGCCGATCAAAAAAAAAATGTAATACGGTAAACAACGGTTGTGATATTCGCAGTGCGAGTAACGCATCGCAGAAGCGTTATTTTTCAAGCGCTTTTTGGAGCGAGACAGCTCGTATCTCGTTGGGACGATCCGGCTTCGCGTTCGCTTTCGTGAGACCCATCAGACAGGCCCTTTAACGTTTATTTACACAGCTCAAACACATTTTTCACTCACCACATAGCTTGTGGCATGTGGACGCG